TAAAAAAAAATGAAAAAAAAATGATGAAAAATGAAAAAAATGAAGAAAAAGAGAAAAACAAAAAACAAAAGAAAAAAGAAAAAAAATAAAAATTCTTCTACTCCAATGATTCTTGTACTTAGTAACTGGGAGTCTTCATCTACAAATGTCGACTTTCGCGTAAAACGGTACTTGAATTAAGAGTATGCAAAGCAACTTGAGTATGTGAAGTGTTGAGTAACCGGTGATCTTCATCTAAAAATGTCGATCCTCGCGTCAAAAGGCATTCTCACGTCTTAAGTAATATTTAGATATGTAATATTAATAAATATCTTTTTAAACAGAATTAAAAGATGATCATGAGTTTAGGAAGCATTATTATTGACCATATGAGTTGCTTGCTTGTGAAATCAGGTAAGGATGAAAAATCGATTTGAATTTGTTATAATGATGGTATAATTGGCTCTCCTTTACTTGATCTTATGAGTACTTGAACTTAATTGAATAATTGCATAATGGTTATTTACTTTGTTTTGAGAAAATGAAGTTGAAATGCTACATATATTTATTTTCAAATTTTGGATCATTGTTGGTTTGTATTTTTATTGCTTGAGGACAAGCAATGGTTCAAGTGTGGGGGTATTTGACAAGGGTTTATTTTACGTATTTTTAGTGTGTTTTATTAGTTAATTTTGGTTTGATTATTTAGTTTAATAACTAAAATAACTAAGGTTTTGGTAAAAAAAACTACATTTTATGTTAAAATGGCTAAACATTGCATTTTATGGATTTTTATGGTAAAAACTTCATATTTTGTAGGTTTAATGATTCAATCATCAAATGAAGTGCATTGAGAAGATATTTGGATGATTGAAGATGGATTAAAGTGGGGAAAATAAAATATGAAGTGTAAAAAGGAAAAATGCAATTTGAATCAAGAAAAGTCAGGTTTTGACAACTCTGACACGTTTTGGTATTTTGACTATATCTGGAGCTACACAGATCGGATCAAGGTGATCTTGGTACCATTTTGAAGCTAAGAGATATATCTACATTTGGTATGAAGACATAAAAGTCCAGTTCAGCCGTTTTCATAGTCCGAAAGTTGAAATACCGAAATTCAACTCAGCTGTCCAAAGTGGAAAACAGAGCTCTGACCAGTGTTTAGTATTTCAATCATATCTCAGGCTACAAAGCTTAGATTTGGATGATTCTTGAAGCATTGGAAAGCTAACTCAAAGGGCTACAACTTTGGTGTTTTACAAAAAATCCAGTTCAGCCTTTATGATAGAGAAAATCGCAGCTGAAGTAAGGACAAAGTGAATACGCGAGTACACAAAACGTGACTTGTAACCGCGTTTTGTGTAGGCGCGTTTTCCGGCCGCAATTCTGCAATTTTGCTCAGTCAATTCTCTTGTGTTCTGACTACTTTCCAGCTACAATCTGCAAGAGAATTCGGTGCACATGCTTTAGAAGACAAAAGGGCAAGAAAGTTGGCATATTTTCAAGTCAAAAACAATGGCTATTGACTATCTTAACAATTTCAGATTTGGAAATCAAATGCAGCAAGTTTGGACCAATGGAAAAGGAGCTTTTGGAGCAGTTTATATAGGGAGCAACCAGGACATGCAGAGGATACGGGAGAAGCTTGGAGTCTGCAAAAATGTAGCTTTTCCATTCTCTTATTGTTAGATTAGTTTAGTATAGAGTAGTAGTTCATCCTTCTTGTTTATTAGCTAGGCAAAGATGAAGAAGGAGATGAAGAAGGCAAGGTGATGAGCTCAAGTGACATGGGTTACATTCCTTTCCAACTCTTTATCTTTTGTATTTGATTCCAAGTTTAGCTAATATACAAGTTGTGGATTTTATATTTAATATGTGTTTTTAAAGTTTATACCTTGGGTTTGGTTGAACTTCCTATGATTGTTAGTGTTTATTATTTGGCTATTTGATTGCTAGTATTTGAGCAAGTTATTTAGCACTTTGGCTCTTGAAATCATGATTAATCTGGTACCATTAATTCTGATTATCTAAGGTGTTATTTCTGCAATGAAAATTGAGATTTAACATTAGTTCAAGAAGTGCTAAACATAGGGAGTACACTCACGAAAGTAGAGGTGCACCTATGTGGTTTTTAGTGATTCATTTCATGTAATTTCACTGAAGAAATAAACTTGTAGCTAATTTCATAACCATGAGAATAGGTATGGATTAGTTATAAGTATAATTGATTCACTACGAAAGTAGGATTCAAATGCATAAGGAAATTACACCATAATTAGCCTAGATGTAGTATTCAATGATCCAAATATAACACTTGCATGAGTAGTTAGGGATACCACAACCTAAGGAGCTTTTACTTGTTAATTTCTTGTATAAGTGCAGTAGGTTAAATTTCTTATCATTAATTGATAGTCTAAATAATAAAGAAACTTTAGTAATACCGGTAATTGTTCACTCTTCCCTGTGGGATCGACCCGATATATACCCTAAACTACTAGTTGATCTGTATACTTGCAGTGAACGGGTGTAATTCGGTATTTTTTAGCTTGCACGTATGTAAAATACCCGTCAGGAGGTAGAAGGGTACGCGGCGGACGCTAAGACTCACTAACAGGAAATTAAATTGCCAAGAAGGGAGGCAGAAGGGTGCGCGGAAGACACGTAGACTCACCAACAAGAAATTAAATTTGATTTGTCAAGAAGGGGGATAGAAAGGGTGTGCGGCGGACGATGAGACTCACCAACAGGAAATTAAATTGCCAAGAAGGAAGCATTAGTGCATGAAAAAGTTTTTGAATACTCACCGGGAGAATCTTTTCAAAAAATTTGTCCCTGTTTCAACCAATCATTGTGCAACCGATCATTCGCTTTGCATTATGGCATCGTTGCTCCTCCTTAAGACTTTGATTCACATCTCTTTCTCGGTCTGAACTATGAATATTCAATTCTTGGGCGACATTCCACAATTATATAAAAAATTTGCCCGAGTTTTGTTATTTGAAACAGGTAGGGACCTGCAAGAGAAAGAACAAATAATGCCACCACCATTCGACCCGTCTAACTTTCAAAAAAAGTATAAACATGAGTATTTTGATGTTTTGCCATCGATGCTGCAAAACCCAACCTTGTACCGCAAACCCCATCCAAGCTGCCTTAGCTTCCAATGCTAGCTCAACATGAAAATTTATACATATGCACTTTTGATAAATCGTGAAAATTGTTATTTGATAAAATCCAATGAAACAAATGAAACCATGCAACACCTAAAAATTTTCTTTGATACAAACTGATAAAAGTCAATGTAATATCAAAAATAACCATCAACTTATATTGAAGGAAAAATGATCTTAGAGAAATGAATCACAAACTCAACAATTTATGTTTGATGACCAAAATACTTTGGCCTCTAACAAATTGTCTCGTTTGACCCTTTGGATATCGTCCGTAGGGAATTCAATGCCGGTAGAAAAATCACAATGTGAAAAGGAATCCAAATGAACCGAATCACCAGCCCTTCAAATCCAAGCTCACTTTTTCTCATAAAACCCTACCTTAGCGCCTTTTCGAGTTTTTGCTAAGGCCATCCCCACTTTTTTATTTTCTTTTTCTTTTATTTTCATTTTTCATTTATCTTTTTTCCCTTTTCTTTTTATTCTTCTTTTCTTTTCTTTCTTTTTTTTTCTTTTCAAAGGTACCCTTTTCAGGTTTTTACTAATGAACCAATCCTGCCGATAACCTTTATCAACTCAGAATATATTTTAAGAAATGGTGGCATCAATGCGACAATCCTTTCCTTGCAAAATTGGTGAGGGTGTATTGACATCGTTTGCCATTTGATTAGAAAATCTCCTGTAAGAGGTGATACAAAGAATGGAAGTCAGGACTTTCAGTTTTTTTGTAATGTGGTCAAGTGAGGTGCTAAAAAAAGGTTAAAACTTGAAAACAGGTTCTATAAGTGTTTAAATCATCTGAGATCGCATTGTTGCACCAACCCTATTTTAGGGTTAAATCAAAACTTACCCTAGTTTGTTCTCAACTGAAGTTCTCTTTTCTTTCATTTTTTTTTTTTTTTTTTTTGGTTTTTTGGTCTTCTGTCATTCCATTCATCTTTTGAAATTTTTAAAATTTGCCTCAATTTATTTTTTAATCGAGATTTTTTCCTTTAATTTTCTTTCCTTTTGTTCCTCTATCACTTTTCACCTCTTGACACTTTTCTTTCCTCTTTTTTTCAACTCAAACTTGCCCCAGTGTGGGGTTTGCGATCCTCAGGGGTTGCCAAACAAAATAATTTATTCTGAACGTTCAAAAGGGATAACTAGGAATAGAATGTTTAATTGGAAAGGAAGAAGGCCTGACTTTCATTCCATTCCTCGCATTAACCCTGAAAGGAAACTTCCATTTGTCAGATGAACAATTTCTTACACATATCTGAATTGATTGGTTGAGGGAAAACTTGTCTATCCATTTTTACTAGAACAGGTGCTCCACCAGGGAATACCTTTTTTGACAATAAAAGAATCTTGCCAATTTGGGGCAAAATCTTCTTTTGGCCTCATCTTGCACCAACAAAAACTACCTCAACGCTTTGTCTCACCGTCTGAATAGTCACGATTTGACCCTTATCATAGTTATTAAAACCAACCTAGACATCAACCCGGCAAGAGGACCGGGTTGACGGGTCAGTGGTTCAACCGGTGGGTCACGGGTTGAACCGCCGGGTCACAATATATAATTAAAAAAATAATATAATTAAATAAACATGAAAATTATAATATAAGTACAGAAATTCTTAAAACTTAATAAGTTATAACCTGTTCATAGTTCATACCTCATAGTTCATTTCACACACATAATCCATAACCATATGCCATCCACAATTCATGAATTCAAACTAAAATCAGTAAATTACACACAAATATAATGATAAATCTAAGTATCAAACCATGAAACATAAGTCATAAACGACCAATTCAATACAACCAAACATAAAGTCATAAACATAAACAACACCACAATTATCACTTGAGCAGTTCACTCCATAATTCATGCCCATGGTCCCAACTTCTGCCAAATTCAGTACCACCAAGTTCATTTACATCACAGCCTGCATTAAGGTCATTTCTTTCAACATTCTCTTCATTATTGGTCTCATCTTCATCTCTAGTGTCCAAATCATCCAAATTTAGAGTTTCATCTACATAAGTACAAAAATCAACGAATCATTCACTAAATTTAGATAATATTTAGCCAAAAATGAAAAAAAAGAATAAGCAAGCATATGGCTCAAATAGAATAACTCACCACTTTGTCGGCTGATAGCAAATGTAGCTATTTCATTTCTAAAACTTTCTAATTCAGCTGAAGTTAACTGTGAAGGTTCATCATCCAAAATCCAAGTTTTATTGGCGCTGAAGTCCTCAAAATCAATAGGATCATAATTTCTACCCCTTGCATTTCTAATAATACAAAACATTAAAACTAGTTAAATAACAAATGTCATCATATTAAAACAAAAATCAGATTGCAAAATGTAGTTTACCTTTGTTGTAATCTTAAATTGTAGAGTACATAAACCAAATCGTTTAGTCTTTGATGCTCCAATCTATTTCTCTTCTTTGAGTGGATATGTTCAAATAAACTCCAATTCCTTTCACAGCCAGAAGCACTACAAGTTTGGCTTAGAACACATATAGCTAGTTTTTGCAAATTAGGTGCAGTGCTACCATAACATGTCCACCATTGATCTATTGCAATAAATAAAAAAAAAGGTCAGATTATAGTATTTTACAATTAAAATCAAATCATCAATAAAAATGAAGTTAATTTTTGGGTACCTAGAAGCATGACATCACGATCTCGTATAGCAGAAACTCTACCAAAATCACCTTCAGCTTTACGAAATAATCTCATCTCTCCGGTCAAATTACTCATCAAATCAGGATTTGCATAGGAATATCTCTCAATCACATCCAAAAGTCCTGATGTTGTGTGCCTATGCTTTTCCAAATCAAGAGAATTGTATTGATAAGCAGGATTGAGCCAATAACCGGCAGCATGAAGATTTTGTGAAGCTGACTATCCCATCTTGAATTAATTATTCTTAAGAAAGGATCAACTGTTTTCTTTTTTCTTGAGAATCTTCTCAAAAGCTCTTCTCTGGCTCTATGCATGGCAGCATACAAGTATCCCATAGCAGGCCTTTCATCACTATCAACAATTCTTAGAACTCGAACAAAAGGCTCAGTTAATTGAACGATTATAGCACATTCCTTCCAAAACAGAGAATCTAGCACAAGATCCACAAATTTTTTTGCTTTACTCTCCTTAGCATATGCTGAAAAGGTCCATTCTTTTGAAGTCACCATAGCTCTTAAAGCATCTTTTTGCACTAAAATACTTTGCAATGCAATGAAATTAGTAGCAAAACGTGTAGGAGCAGGCCGAATAATTTCTTTTCCACCAGTGTATTTTCTCATCAAATGCAACGGATAACAATGATTATAAATATATTTTGTTATTTTTGAAGCATGTTCAACCACTTTACTAACCTCATCTAACTTGCCCATATCATGCAACATCAAATTTAGGCAATGAGCAGCACATGGAGACCAGTAAAGTGTTGGAAATTCCCTTTCTAATAATCTTCCAGCAGCAACATAATTGGCAGCATTGTTAGTAATGAAGTGTACCACATTTTCCATCCCAACAAATAAAACCACTTCTCTAAATAGCTTATACAACATTTCTGCAGTCTTCGAAGCATCCGAGGCATCAACTGATTTCAAAAAAATAGTTCCTCTAGGGCAATAAGCTAGAAAGTTGATGAGAATTCTCCTTTGTTGGTCAGTCCATCCATCAGCCATAATAGTACATCCAGTTTCTTTCAAAGTTGTACGAAAGCTATTAACAAAATTCTTGACTTGCTCAACATTTTTTGTCAATAAATAGCCACGCAAGTCATAGAAATTAGGTGCTTTGTAACCAGCTCCAAAAGAACAAGCAGCATCAAACATTGTTTGATAATATGCAGAGTTTGCTGCATTGAAAGGGATGGAAGCATCAATCATCCACTTCGCAACTGCCAAGTCAACCTTCTCTTTAGCTTCTTTGCTTTGCATCACACTTTTGATGGATGGTTGACCTCCTCGAGTAGCTCTTGGCATAAAAAAAGTCCCTATTGTTTTCCCTTTTTTGTGCTGTTGAAGAACTTTTTTTCCTTTTGAAACTTCAGTAGTGGGAGGCGGATGAATCTCTTGAATATCTTCTGTATCTTCCATGTATACCTCCTCTTCATGTCGTCTTAGATCTTGACCATATAAATCACTTGCCCTTTAGCGTTCTTTCAAGCTTCTTTTCTAGCATTTCAAATCTAATCTGTTCATCAACCTTTGGACAAGGTGTTGTCTCCCCTTTTACACCTGCAAGGTGCTGCTTGAATCAATTGATGCCATCTCCTCGAATTCTTTTTTCACAGTGAATGCATACCAAGCACTTAACTTTTTTGTTAGACACAGAATCTTCTCTACAGTGAGACCATGCAGGGTCCGTCTTTCCCCTTGTTAGAGGTTGATTTTGAGAATTTGATGTACTAGGTGTTGGTTCTGTACTTGGTGTTTGAGATGGTGTTTCTCCAATAGAGTCCATTACAAATATCTGAAAAGTTTGGACAATGATCCACTTCAGAAAATTACTATAAAAATTACTGAAAAGCTGTCAGGGATATACTATAAGCTCAGTGGTACACATTTTAGACTTTGAAAGAGAACTTAGGGGCTTATAGAGCTCTACAAAATAGGATCGAGGAAGGTCTTGTAATATACTACAAAAGACATGCATATGACAAGAAGAAATCTTAGCATAAAAGTAAACATAGAAGGGGAACAATGAAAAAATATATTTGCGATTAAAAGGCAAACACCACAATTACGTCTAATGTAAATATCATCAGACTTTCTAGTTACAGTTCCTGCCTCTGCAAGGAAAGGTCCTACAAATACCAAACTGCAATATAGAATTGTCAACCTGCCAGAGTACGAGCAAGTTATGAATGATGGAACAACTAATACTGCACAATACATGCTTCAGGGATAAACATACAACTTATCAGTAGGTTAGTGAACTTGAACTGAAAATCTATGCAGAAGGGAATTAGTCTAAGAACTGGGAAAAGGAATAAACAAAATCACTGCATAAGAGCTGGCAGCTTCAATGGAGCTCAAATAAATTGTCTTAGAAATCATCTAGGCAGCCTTTACGAGGTTATCGCATGGTCCAAATTGTGCAAGCTTTCTACCATAACAAACTGAATAATGCACTCATTATGCAATCAGTCTTTCCATCACTTTCTCAGCAGCGTTATATACATATATATGACTAGATGTACAAAACTCCTAACTTGGAGAGAAACAGATTAGCACTTGGTGCCGTGGTGTGTGCAGATTCGTGAGCAGAAAGCTGGACTGCTGGAGTATTTCTTACCTTCAAGGCTTCACTGGCTTACAAACCTTCAAGCCTTCAATGGCAGCTTCAGAGGCAACGATAGCTTCCTGGAAGAAATCTGGCAGCGGCTGCGGCAACTTCAAACTTCCAAGGTACCGTGGTGTGTGTGCCCAGCCGCAAGGCTTCACTGGCTTACCGGCACAAAGCTTCAAGCCTTCAATGGCAGCTTCGGTGGCAGTGCAGCAGCTTCCTGGAAGAATTCTGGCAGCAGCTGCGGCAACTCCGAACTTCGAACTTACAAGGTGCCGTGGTGTGTGCCTAGCTGCAACGAGCGGCAACAAAGCTTCAAGCCTTCAATGGCAACTTCGGTGGCAGCGGCAGCTTCTTGGAAGAATTCTGGCAACGGCTGTGGCAACTCCAAACTTCCAATTGCTTGCCTTAGACTCTCAGAGCAACTAGCAAAGCAAAGGAAAGAAAAATTGAAAGCCGAATCCCTGAAAAATTGAAAAGGAATTGAAAATTGCTTGTCGAATTCCTTCCTAAATGCTGAAGAAGTTCTCAATTCATTCTCACTTCTCAGAGAAACAAAGAAGAAGGAATCCCTAAATGCCTAAATTCCCAGTGACGACTGAATCCGAATGGCCGAATCCTCCCTTTTCAATTTTTCTGATTTTTTTCTCTCCTAATTGGCTAAAAACATAGCGAAAAGACGATAATGCCCATGTAGTGTGAATAGTCAAAATAAAAGAATTAGGTAAAACGGTAACTTCAAAAAATTTGCCAAAACCCACCGGGTTTATCAATAACCGCCGGTTCTAGCGGTTCACTGGTTAAACCGTCCGAGTTGAGCAGGTCGAAGCGGGTTCTTTGCAACTCCGACCTAACTAGTAACCCGGCCCGGGTTCATGACTGGGCCATCGGTTTGACCGGTTCGATCACCGGGCCGGGTTTAATAATTATGCCTTTTATGGTAAGCACGGGCCAATCCTTTTGATAATATTGATCATGACAAGCTGCATTTAGCTGCTTCTTATCAAGTGACCACTGATTTTTATTTCCTTAAACTTGATCCCAATTTGGCTTGAATTTCTTTTTATACCATTCAAGTCTCTTTGAAACATTTTCGAATTTCTCTTCACTACTCTTTTTCATTTTGAAATTCAAATTTACATTCGTGAGATATCGAGATTTCTACCATTAAATTTCGGAACAGTGATAGCCAAAAGGTCAGAGGATTTTATTCTTGATCATCTGAAAAGATGTAAGTAACACAGTATATAGAAAACTGTACATTTTATTGATTTCAAGATGAAGATCAAACCTAATAGCATGTTACTTGTTAAACAAGACATGTCTTCAAAAGTCACTTGATTCAAGACTATTTACAAAAACGTAGTTAAACACAAGACACAGGCATAAATGATTTTCATTGATTTTAACCAAAGACAATTCCCAAAGTTTATCGAAACTCCGTTCAAGAGGGAGGGATCTCACTAGTTCGGGATTTTCAAATTTTCACATTGGGGATAAATGCTTAAAAAGTGTCCTTGTGTTCGGAAAAGGGAATTGTAATTATTCTCGGTCCTTGTTCTCCCATTTTCCTTAGCACTATATCTCCTGCTTCGATCATATCCTGTATTTTATGTTTCAATACCCTGCAATTATTGGTGGGATGCCCAAGAGCTCCAGAATGATAAGCGTAGACGGCTTGAGGGTATAGCCAGAGGGAATACCTCTAGAATAGATCTTGGGAGGTATAACACCAATTTTTCCTGCAGCTTTGAGTTATTTGTACAATTGATCAATGGATCGGCCCAAGTTGGTAAATGTTCGATATGGTTGGGATTCAGATTTCACTGTTTAGAGGATAAGTTTGGTTGTTTGATTGAACAGGTCTTGGATTATAAGGAGGGTGAGATCTAGTTTGAAGATTGGGTTGAAAAATTGGGACGGGTAGTATAAGTGGGTTTACATAGTTTGGCCGAAATCGAGGGTGATTGATAGTAGTATGGTAAACAGAGCGTGGATTTGGGTAATATGGATATGGATATGAGTAAGTGGATTGACTAGCAGGTAAGGGATCATACTGAACATTGCTGACCAACTGATCAATCACGCGCTGTTGTGTGGTTATCTCCATGCTTAACTCATTGATTTTGTTTTAACACTTCGCTCAATTGAGCTCTCAGATTTTCAAGGTCGGATGTTGGCGTCATGGCAGACCTATCGGATGACTCAGGATGTGTATTCATGTTTACACTATTTCTCAAAACTTGGCTACGTGATCGTGTAATGATGGAGCTTCTTCGTGTAGCTATGTTTATAATTACCTGAAAATTTAGGAAAAATCCTATTTAAATTCTCCTCTTGATTAACTGCTGACAAAAAGAAAGAAAAAGATAAAGACTGGAGTTAGTAAAAAATTAAAGTAATTCGGATGCATGTCTTATTGGGGTAGCCATTTTTGTGCCAAGGGTAGACCTAACATGAGAATGCAATCCTCTAGGGTAGGCACATACAATACCTGATGAATCCGATCAACTTATTGATATTCGAGTGAAAAATAACTTGAAAATTTTGACCAATTGGAGTGACAAGAGACATTTGTCCTAACAAAATGAGGACAAAGTTTAAATGGATTGATTACCTTGATTAACACATAAAATGATGTGTGAAAGAGCCTATTCTTGAAAGGATTGCAACGTCTTGACTAATTTATCAGTGAACCTTAGATCGAAATCCTAAAAGAGAATAAACGGGTCAAATGGATCGGATGAAATTGATAATTTATTTGAAATTGACTAGATCATCCTAAATATGGGTGAACTGGTCAAATGAATTGAATGAAATTGATGATTTATTTAAAATTGACTGGATCACCCTAAAAATGAACAAATTGATAAAATGGGTTGGATGAAATTGATGATTTATTTCAAAATTGATTAGATTGTCCTAAAAATGAATGAATTGATAAAATGGATTGGATGAAATTGGTCAAATTGATTGAATTATATTGCCCTAAAAAAATGAATAATCGGTTTAAATGGATTGAATGAAATTGATGATTTATTCAAAAAATTGATTGAATTGTCTGCCCATTGGTAGTTTCAAAAAAAATTTATTGTGATGCATTAGTCTATGAGTCTTCTAAAATCAAGATTTGGTCTCAATATATTTACCATCTTAACAATGAGGACTTATTTGTGAATTTTTTCAACTTAATGTCCTTTACGCAAGGGATTTTTTACCAATTCTGATAAAATGGCCAAAAAATGATTGTTAGATGCTCATGTTCTAATGTGCAAAAATTGCTCTGTCATCTTCAAAAAGATCGGATCCTATCTTATCTCGTGCACTACCCCTTTGGACGGTACAAGAAGTATAGACGTGCAAGTCTCATTGGACTACATATTCGAAAAACAAGATGGCTTATTCCTAACACGAGATTCCCTAAATAGTATTCCCTTTAAGGTTTATGCATGATACCAATTTATCAAAACAATTAAATATGTAATTTGAAATGAAAACATGACCTAAGGGACCTTTCGTATGCTAGGGTGGGCCTAAAAATGAAATGCAATTATTAACTTACAAATGCAAACATCAGAATTTAAGCGTGCAATAACCTATCTAAGAGGGTAGGTTCTAAAAGAGTATGTGATGACTCGCAAAAATTTACTTATTTAATCTCCTATTTCTAGCTTATTTAATTATTTATTTGGCTTTTTACTCCGAATATTATTTTCTAAGCTCTTGAGACCTAATTACATGAAAATATAGTTTCATTATATTTTTAAAATGACTTGTTTCAAAGATTAATTTTCGGGAGCTCGTTTAG